CCATTTTAACATTAGGAAATCTAAATAGTTTTTATCATGGATTAATTTCTCTTTCCTTTTTTTATGGTTCGGTATTTTTCCTGTCTATAAACTTGGGAGTATTCACAGCGAAATTGAATATATTTTTAAAAAACCCCTGCTGGAAGTACGCATAGATGCAAGTGCGGCAGACTTAATACAGCCTACTTTTCCGGAAGCTTTCCGGTAAGCACACTATGTTCCAAAGTCGATTTCAAAATAACTTCTTATTTTTTAGGCACAATAAGCTAAGAATTTAAGTGTTGGTTCGACCTCTATTTCTTAGCTTGGTCGCAGCGTCAGAGAAACCTTGCGGAGCTTACCTAGTCCTGCGCCCACCCAATGTGTGGTGACACAACCTTAGGCGACATTGGGGAGCACGAGAGCACAAAATGATGTGAATAGATAAGTGAACTATATGAAGTGGGGTTGAGAGAAAGAGATAACGCTAGAAGCTAGGACAAAAATTGGGTTGGTGACGAGTTGTAACCCTCTGCTAACGATGACGCCTCTTACTTATTATGCCGACTACGATGCCGGCGAAACGTTTGGGAATGTATTGAGTCGATGGTTCGAAGCTGAAAATCATGAATACATTGATAAAGTACACAGGACCAAATATGTTGCAAAAGGTCTCCTTGACGCTCCGACCAAGCGGCGAGAACGAGGTCGAGTCGGCACTATAAAGCTAAGGGAGACTACGGCTAAACTAAAGGTCACGCCATCTTTGTCTTCAAATTTATGATCTAAAATATAAATCTGATTAATGCGTAACGGGAAATAGAAGCCATATAGGTTCGAATAAATGATAGCTTCTTGAGCTTTTACGTTAATTTTGAATCTCAACATGATCTAGGGCTTTCTAAGACGAGTCTTCCTCAGGTATAAATTCAAACAAGTTTATCTTTTTATTTTGAATACAAACCTACTGATATAGATATTTAAGAAAGCTTTGCCTCCAAGACAAATTCTTCGTTGCCTCAGTAATGCACCTCGAGTGCTTCAGTAGGAAAAAATAAGAAATCACAGGCAAGCGTCCCAAAATTATACAAACTATATTGCGTTCAGAATCTTTCTTGATCTACGATAAGAAAATGTGTGGAACAACAGTCTTGTTGGTTCGGTAAATTAAGGTAAGTTTTTTATGTCTACTAGCTTGGCTCGAGAATTATGTGTTTAACTTTTTTTGTCACTTAATTCTATGCTAAATAACCCCCATTTGGTCCAAAGTGGAGCATAGTACCCTTTTAGTAAATAATCTTCACTGTTATTCACCATTCTTCATACTCTTTAGACCAACCTATTAATCCCATCAAACGAGTACTAAATATTGCTTCACTTGACTTTAATGGCGATTAATAACCTGCGCCATTAATTAGGGAACATTATTACACTTCGAAGTTATGGAGACAAAGATGGTGTGGCCTTTTGTGTGGTTACAGTCTCCTTTCGTTGTATATAAGTTGTTTGACCTTGTTTTCGCAACTTGGTCACATCGGTAGGAACGTACCTAGTCCTGAGTCCATCGGTAGAGGAACGTACCTAGTCCGGAGTCCATTGTATGCATGATTATTTCCAAAGTTGGACCGTGGACGTGGTACTTTTCCAGACGTTTCGCCGGCATCGTAGTCGGCATCGTCAGTGAGTCTCGCCATTCGTAGCACCATATTACAGTTCGTCAAAGAGACAAGTAAAGCCGATCCTTTGACCAAACGTGTGCTAAACAGTTGTGGTATCTCCCCTTCTGCCCTGGGTTATTCACATTTCCCATATCCTCCTATCACGCCTTTCCTATCGGTAAAATTGTGACAGAGAAGGCGTGATAGGAGGATATAGGAAATGTGAATAAGCCAGGGTAGAAGTGGAGATACCACAACTGTTTAGCACACGTTTGATCAAAGGATGGGATTCACTTGTCTCTTTGACGAGCTGTACTATGGTGCTACGAACAGTAAGACTCAATGACGATGCCGACTACGATGCCGGCGTAACGTCAGGGAAAGTACCACGTCCACGGTCTAACTTTGGAAATAATCATGCATACAATGGACTCAGGACTAAATACGTTCCTCTCAGTCTTCCTATCAATGTGACCAAGTTGCAAAAACAAGGTCAAACAACTTTATTATTACACTTCACTCATCAAACTTTTCCCCAGAGTTAGCCTCTCACAAACAAATTAACCATAAACTTGAAGGTTTCACTCATTCTTTCCGGACTTGGCTCTTACACTAGATGTATCAGCTAGCCTTCGCTTAATTACCTGTGCTTGCATCTGCCATTAGACTTTGCTTGCCTCGCCTCTCGATCAAAACAGCTTCATAGTCTGAGTCAGTAGTCACGAACATCAGGACAATCTAAACTTGCTACTCTGCTTACAAAGCTCTTATGGAGAAGAATTCATATAATCCGTCTCATGAGGAAAAAGTGCTTAGGCTTGAGAGCATCAGTTGTTCTCAGCAGTACACCTCTGCTACATAAATTGCATTGCAGTAGGAAACTCACCACAGTGACATTAGTCGAAGTCTGAAGCTCCAGTTGTCCATTACATCCTCATCACAAAATAATCAAACTCAAAGCATGGATCACTTTGTAGAAAGACTGGTTTCCGAAGAACTCCTTGATATATTGATGCTGGAGTACCTTACATTTCGTTTGAAGAAGCAAGTTGAAGGGATTTGTAAGTTGGCCTCAGCGAAAGCTGTTGAGGATTGCCTTGGAGCTGTGAGTGTAGATTTGTGCGAATAGGTCATCGGCGCACCGCCCTGCGACCCCGATGAATCCTTGCTGAGCTTTCGTCCGTAATGTGACGGACATGTTTAACGATGATTCGCCAAAACATGAAGACTAGAAAGGTGGCCGGCTTCAAACCTACCTACTTCTTATGGTCCAATTTGATCCACTTAATTAGGAATATTATGTTTTGGTTGGATGTCCTATGCTTTGCCTAAATATTTGCGGAAAAGTTAAGTTAGGCAGCTGCAGATTACATGCTCTATTAGACAAGTTTGGTCTATCACTACTAGAAAATCTGGAACCAATCTTACTAGATGAATATACCTTCAAATAGCGAATATGGTTTAGTTGCCGGGCCTGTGCTTTATTGATCCTAGTGTAAAGTGATGCATCTCGGTAAGAGTGGCATCCGTACGTATTACATAGGCATGCAAAAAACAGGGTTTCGATTAATCTCTTAATAGACTTATTCTAACATGTCTACAGCGACAGTTCCAAGACAAATTCCCTAAAGATTCAGGAGGGGCCAATTTAAAAATCCATTACAATTGCCTCTTTAAACGAAATCAAAGATACTCCAACATCATAGATCACTTTCTTTCTTTTGTTCTAACAGAAACCTTTCTTATCTTTCACATTTATCCTAATATTCTGTCTTCTCCATTCGCCAGGTCGATTATTTCTTTGTTTAATTCAGTTCTCTCAAGACGGCGCTGTATCTCATATACACTTATTATGACAATAAATATAAGGTCATACTCTAAGCATTTGAAGTTAAGATGAGGTCAGACCACTTTCATACAGCTGAAGGAAACTACGACCAAAGCAGAGGCCACAACAGCCTGGCCTTCATATCTAAATTTTAACATAAGCTTTTACGATCAATTTACACGTAAATGCCGTAAATCTTGGTTAGATTCTAAGCAATTAATGCTCTTTCACGTCACAACTGTCCAGTTGAATTGGCATTGCATCTAAATTATGGTTATTTGAACTCCATGTTTTCATTTTATTATATCAATTATTATCTATCTCTATTAATGCGCTTTCATTTTAGGTTCTGATGGAGTGCTTTATCTAAGGCATTGATTCTTCAGCATCTAAGTATCAGGGACATATGTGAATACATTGTAGATACGAAGAATAACTGGGTTTCGATGAATCAAATGTGATTAAATTGCTAGGGAGATGTTCATTTAGTATGAAAATGCATGAAGAAGCTATTCATGGGTTGATCTCACTAGGAGACGATGTCTGAATCCAGCTGTTCCGCAGCCGTTTGGCTTTACTACGACGTTTAGGCTGACGCAGTCCGCGAGACCTTCTTTGCTTCACCCGAAACAAGGTAGGACATCTCCAAAGGCAAACGGATGAAGTACAACTGGATTCATCCATCGTCTTCTGGTGAGATCAACCTACGTATCTCTTCTCCATGCACTTTCATACGAAATGAAAGTCTTCTCAACATATGTGAATACTTCCTATCCCTATTCTAATCCTTTAATTTAAAAGTGTTTCTTTATCTCGCACGATCTGACTTCACGCTTAAGAAATGAATACTATATGTAGTGCGTGAGGAGTTTGAAAATTTTCTGAAAATTTTTTAATCAAATTTCCTTGTTAAAGCAGTTTTCTTATTTTGTATATATTAACTGCAGAATAAATGGCCCCGCAATCCCACGGAACAGTGTCTTGAAGAGTTGTTCGTCAATGCCCCGATGCGCATGCTGGCTATAGTTGAGGCCCTTTCACCTCCTGTACGGTCAACAAGACGGCATCTGATGAGGCCAGAGCCTCCCGTACAGAATATAACTTGGGAGCAGGAGTCAGTCTATTTGGAACTCTTTATCGCTGCTATACATCTTATTAAAGGTGGATTAGCTTTGCACGTTAATTAATTCTCCATAGATGAATACACTTATTGATTCGAATGAAAATATGAGAGTTTGATTAACCCATTAATTACTAAACAGCTGATATAAGTAATCTCTAATACTGATCTCACTTTAGTGCAAGTAGTGTATAGTAAGTGTCTAAATGGCATTTAGCAGCAGTGGCCTACTGACAACCTCGAGAGCGCTAATGCTCAATAAGCATATGATTAGAGTATTGGGAATAAGCTTTCGAAACTAAGCTGCATTGGATAAGAATATTTTTAGAGACTATAAGAAGTTGTTTGACCTTATTTTCGCAATTCGGTTATATTTTCAGAATGACTTAAAGGCCTGGCGACGCAACACGAGAAGGTTGACAAACTGGATAGCTCGGGAGTTTAGTGCATCAAATGCGGCAACTATGAGCATAAGTATATTGATGAAGCAGAACAAAAATCAGTATACAAATAAAGGAAAACCTAGG